TCATTAAAGACATGTTTTCCACAAAATCTGCTGGTAGAATGGATTTAAAATCAGTGTCATGTGTAATTTAAAAGATTAAATTGATTGGTTTGATTGACATGCTGCGATAATTGTCAAAATCTGAAGGGCCTACTTACTGCTAACTAGGGTTTCAACCAATTTCATTATCAGTTAGTCTGTGGAATATGTTTGCCTTTAATCAATATAATGTGTAATAAAGTATATAATATCCCAGAGACTGAGGTGATGTCATAAAATAGCATGTTTATAATCATTAACAGCGCAAAAGATATTCAGTTTACAATGTTATAAAACAGCAAGTTATCATATCTGAGAAGCAGAGCATTATTGACATTTAATGTATGTTTTCTATTAATCTGTTAATATAGTAGCTGATTATTAATTTTCTGTCGATCTACTCATCCATTAATAATTATCATTTCAGCAGTACATACAGTTGGTTGATCTACTAAGACTGCTATTGTTTTAGAGTTATATTTTATAAAAATTTAACTTTGGCTCTGTGTTCAAACATCTAAAAAGATCACGTTCGTAACAACAACAACAGAAAATTAAAATCGACCAATTATAAAATCAAATTAGATTGTTATTATTATAATATTTATAAAATAAACAAATTATACTGATTATATAAACCTGCATGTACTTGAGATTTTAGATCGTACATACATGGCTATATGCAATTTACCACGAAACATCTTGAGATAAGAGCAACTTATGATCCTTAGCGTTAACTTTGTCTACATTTCTGGCATTGTGTATATTTTGAATTTTTGAATCACTTTATTGATACTTAGACCTTTATTGATAGTTTATAATGGCGATCTTTCCTTCTTTGTACTGCTCAACAATTTCCGTCGAGATAAAAAAAAGTTATAACTCTATCTTATCTTATCCCATCGTATATTCTTGTGCACATGTCAATCTTGAAAGAGGAATATTGATATCAATGACACCAACTGTTTAAACAAAGGATTAAATGAATCCAGACACTTTTAATACACTGCCTGGTCTAATGGGGGCACTGTAATAAACTTCAAACAAAAGGTCATAAATTGCGAGAACACAGGCCTTATATTGAAAATCAAATCAAATCTGGAGCAGAGATACATGTTGATGCTGACTCTTCTGGTAACTGCCTTACATGTTGAACAAGTCTGCACTTGTTCCCTCCCACCCCATACATTTAAGACTAATCAAGGTGCTGAGGTTTCCTATTTCTCTATCCTCTCATTTCATTTCATCTCTGTAGTGATGGGTCACCAATAGAAAGGCACAAAATGTCCAACCAACCAAAAACAGAAACCAAAACACATTAATCATCCATTCTGGTCCTAGTCTACAGCACTGTGTTATTTCACCTTTGCATCGATTTCTTCTGCTTTCTCATTGGCCTCCTGTTCGATGAAGGCCATCATGTGCTTGATCTGCAGACACGAAAAAATAAACATTAATTAAAAACAACACTGGGTTTCCTCACATCAGATTCAGATTTCATTTTTAGGGTTTTATGTTAACAGGACGTCATCATGAAACATTATTCCTTCATAAGTACGAACTCTCTCATAATGAAACCCAGAAATCCTTCCTCACCCAGCCGTGAGCTGACTTTGTCACTATGGTGAGGAATGTTTCTGTCCATTTTGTTCATTAACGCTTGACCCACACTTATAACATATGTACCAGTTGACTTCTGCAGATTTACATGAACCCTTTTGGAGGTTATTCACCATGGTCGCTTGCTAAGAGTTCCCAATGAAGTGTCCAGACAGTGGCTCACTCATTCCCAGTTCCTCATCAGGGCCCTGCATGTGTCCATCATGTGATCATTTGGAAATATGACCCTCCACATCTCAGCCATAAGTTCCATACAACGCTAGCTTCAAAATGGCTGTTTATTTCTATATAACCAGCAATCTTATGTACAAAACCAACATTCAAAAACACCACAAATGTTGTATTCAAGCTTATGTTTGTGTTTATTTCGATGCTAACCTATTGCTGCTCTCTCAATGTCATTGTTAATCGACACACACGCACACACTTCCGGCTAATATTACAGCTATTAGAAACATTTCTCGGTGTTGTAATAAGACAATTAGTACCTTAAAAAGTGCTTCTACAGTATCTGAAGAGAAACAGATGAGTGGTGTCATTTTTGAAGGTTAAAACGGTTCATTACCTGCTTCTGTACATCGGCATCGCTGAGCGCCATGGTTGCAGCTGTCAAAGATCCGCTCGGCCTGCGATGAAAAATAACAAAACAAACAGAGAAATTAAAAATATTTTATGATTAAAGAGCTCGTCACCAACAACAAGGAGGTTTTATTTCTGCAATGTGTGCGTTAAATCAATGATTATTTACCCGAAAACCACAAACGAAGATGTATGAATTAATCGCCGCAGTCGTGACTCGTAAAGATGTCTACGGAGGATCAGCTGATGTGCGACGTCACATGATGTTTACTTCCGGCCGAGCAGCGAATCAGGTGCGAGAACAGGAGACTGGTTCATTCTAATGTAGGAAGGAGGAATTTCCATCTCATACTACACATTAATATATGTAGTAAAATACAATATATGTATTTGTATAGATTTTGGGTAGAATAAATCTTTTAGCTTAAAAATGTGGCGTGTTTGATTGTCTCATTGTTTTTTTTTATAATCTTATTGTTTTTGTCTGCATTTGCTTTGGTTTTATTGGTTGTAATATTTTCCTTTCTCTGTAGATCACTTTGCAACTTTAAATTACTTTAAAAACTACTATACAAATAAAATTTAATTTCCTTATTCATATATTCATTGTTAAATTATTATTATTTGTTCATCAATTGTTTGAGGTAATGCAAAGCAAAATTGTAGATCAATCAATCAATCAACATTTATTTCTATAGCGCTTTACGACAACCATCAGGTATCCAAAGTGCTTCACATCATAGAATATAATAAAACAGCATATCATACAATAGATACATATAACAAAGAAAGAAAAGAAAAGTTAAAAAGAAACAAGAAAAGGAAATTGTCACACCACTACTGCGTATTAAAAGCCATTCTAAACAGGTGGGTTTTAAGTTTAGACCTAAAAATCGTTTCATCTGCAATTGTGCGAATATCAGGGGGTAGCTTGGGGTAGCTAGTAGATGACCAAGAACAAAAGGAACTCCACTCTGGTGACAGGAATTAGCCAGCAAAAATTAAAAAAGACAAGATAAAATAAAAATAATAATTAGAAATGAATATATAAAAAGTAAAATAAAATGAAGTAATAAAGACAAATGATAACATACAAAAACAAAAAAGTAAATAAATAATGAGTCAGTGTAAATCCACACATACCGAAGAACCCATAGACTCAGAAGAGCATCCACAGTAACAAACTACCACAACGATGACAGAGACAACAAACAATATGTGCTTGTTACCAACATACACATACATGTACATGTCCCACCGTACTAAATACAAATGGTTAAGTGAAAGGAAATGCGATCAATGTAAGGCGAAATGCTGAAATTTGTCATGTATTGGTTTTCATATGAGTATAAAACATAAAATAAATATCTTTATATATTTTGTTATTCATATAATGTACATGACATTTTTGCAGTATATTTAATGTGGGTCTGTAGAGACTGGATTTCATTTTAACTGCATTTTTAATTGACTTAAACATGGAACTTGGCTTTAGGATCCGCTTTAGGATTGATTTTAAGATTTTATTGCTTGTTTTTAAAATTTTAAATGGGTTGGCACTTTCCTATTTATTAGAACTTTTACATGTACACACTCCTGTCAAAGCACTGAGGTCATCCAATCTGATGCTCCTCGATGTCCCCAGATCCAGGTTAAAATTAAGGGTGACCAAACCTTTTCATTAGCTGCTCCTAATCTTTGGAATACTTTACCTGCTGAAATAAGAATTGCTCAGACTGCTGACTCTTTCACATCCTTGCTAAAGACCTATCTCTATTCATTGGCCTTCAGATCGAGTTGAGTATTGACATCATTGACCTTTTCCACTGTTTTTGTCGTGTATATTTGTTGTGTATTCTGAACCTGGAAAGCACTTGAGTCAACTACGTTTTTTTTTAAATGTGCTATTGAACTTGAACTTGAACTTCTAAAATATACATATACATATTTTCTGTTGTACTTGCAAACTTTTAATTTTATTATGATTTCTATTTTTGGCAAGTGTATTACTCAACCAACTTTATTTACACTCAACACACAATTGATAAAAGTGACAACAAAATCAACAACAAAGGAGAGTAAAAGAGACAATTAAATAAAACCTCACATGGTCACACGAAGCAGATAACAGGAAATAGAGGCACAGGTGAGGTTGAGCACAGTTACTTGACACTGTAGAACCACAATTTCATGGAGAAACTGTGTGACAAGAAGAGAATTCCATAGTTTTGGGGGAGCTATAGAAGCAGTTATGATATGTATGTTTTTAAAAAGCAAACTGTGCACACAATGTGGTGCTTTGCAAGTGTACCATATATAAGCCTCCTGGCATTGTTTCCAGAGTCTTGTAACACGTCCTGCCAGTAGAGGGAAGTAAAACATGGAAAGTTCAGCATTAGAAATAGCTCTTCTTCCTATCTGACATGCGTTTTCCACTCGGTGTCACCGACTTGCATGCAAACTGCGGACTGACTGATAATCTGCAGTTTGGACAATGGACATAAAACTCCCCAGACTGTTTACCTGAGAAACATCTACCAACTGACCTCTTTTGACCTTTCAAGGACTGGGAATGCACAGGTTAAAGTCTGATTCAAGATTCATGAGTCTTTTTTGTCACTATTTACTTACAATATTCATAGTATTTCTCCTTCTGAACAGACAGCTAAATCACCACTTACTGCTCTCCAGCCAGCTGTTATGTCATGCATTTGGGAACTGGGGTGAGACAGAGAGAGAGAGAGAGAGAGAGAGAGAGAGAGAGGGAGGGAGAAGAGAGAGTCTTTTGCACAGCTTGTCCATCTTGTTAGTCCTGTGCCAGCTACAGCATGCATGTCTGCCTATCTGTTGTTTTGTGGCTTCGTGTCTGACATCTCACTTTGATCTCCAGCATCTGCTGCTCTTCAGCAACTCCTTCAGTACCGTGCAAAGAGGGCACAGGTATGCTAGCATGTTGTTTTGTTCTTTTTATTCACATGGCAGAAGATTTTAGCAAAGCCTGAAATCTGAAGAAAGCCAAAGTCTGAAGAAGAAGAACCTAGACTGTGGCTCGAATCAAGAATGTGATCTTAGATGCTCTGTTAAACATGTGTTATCTGTAAACATGTCAGTGTTAGAAGGGTCATTGTGGGTAACTCTGAGGTTGTGAAGGGCAAAATCTCACCTTGCACAAGACAGAGAAACGACAAGCTGGTTTATCTTATCAACCAATTCTCCCACACTGACACTGAAAGCTGAACTTTTGTAAAAAAATTTAGCATCTGATATCAGTCTATCCTCAATTCCTAATTCTTCCTGATTATTTATTTTACCATGCTGGGATAGGATCAGTGGGAATCCAATTACTCAAGTAGGCCAGTAAGTAAAGGAGGGTGACAGAGTGGTTCGTGACACAGACAAGTCAAGTGTTTGAAGGGTTTAAAATGTTCATATGGATAACTTTCAGGCAGCAGTGTCACTGTGGATTGAAGTCTGCATCAGTCTGCAGGACACACAGCTTGGGACAGACAATATGGCCGCTAGTTGGTCATTAAATCAGTGACGTCTGGGAGGTGTCTGTTTCAGCCTGCTCACTCTGGAAGGGGTGGAGTGATACAACGTCAAAAATTTTAGTCATGAGAGAATTAGAAAAAACTACAACATACAAAATATCCAAATCATAAATGAGGGGATAATAGATTTAACTGATCTGAATGCTGAAACACAAACCTGGCCATTAATAATCAGGTGATTTAGCTCTTTAAAGGCACAGCTGTGTACTGGAAATGTTTACTCAAAGCCTAATAAGCCTTTTTATTGATTTTGTCTGGCGGCTGGACTCAAAGTCAAAAGATTTTATTGCACAAAACGTGGCAAGAAGTTGCGCAACAGGCAAGAACTGGGTTTGCTTTCCCCTATGAGCTAACACAAAAGAAATAGTGTTTAACACTTTGAGAACATACTTTATATACAGTACTAATAGGACCTACCAGTATTCCATCGAGTTTGCATTGAGGTAGGGATGGATCCCAAAACCACACTTGAGGCTTGGACAAGATCTTTAAGGTGCAAGTAGATTAGCTAAAGAAGTTTTTAGTTGTATTCAGACACAATTAACTGTATTTCAGTAGTCATCAACATTTTTGGCTTATGAGCTGTTAAAATGACCCAAATGTGACTCATGAAAAGCTACACGTTTCAATAAGCTGTGAGCAAAATGTTGTATAATTTCCATCATTTTTAGAGGCCTGGTAAAAAGTAAAGACAAAAGAAATTACCGAAAAATGTAACGCACGTTTTTTTTCTTTCTTCTTTTGACCCCTCAGATTCGGCTTAAGACCCCTTGGTGGGTCCTGAACCAAAGATCTACAGCAGATGTTCTAACTTTCACGATGGGTGTAAATGTAAATAATTTAATCCAAATGTGACTAATTCAGTCAAAATCAGAAAACATGCATTTATTGTATTTCTTGCAAACCTGTGAACATGCATCACCAGTTTTTTTTAAAGATTATATTTTTACATTTTTTCTTTTTATTGACTGGAAATTCACAGAAAGAAAGATATTCTTCAGGAAATTCTACAGCTTTATGCAAAGTAAAGTTCACTACTACCCATATTGAATCTAAATGGTAAATCTCATTTACATGTCACCTCCAGCTCAGCAACACCTTTTAGATTTTGGATTCACAACTTGAGTGCAAATGTAACAGATATTCAAGACCGGTAGAGGCTGGTAAAGGATTTGTCCTCATTAAGCAGGGCTCTACACACTGGTTCACCCTAATTTAAATATTTAGGGGAACATGATGTGGGCACAGACATTAATGCATCTTTTGTCAAGCATTAAACATTTTACATTTAACACAGAGAATGCATAAAGACACTGGGCAAACTGACTTAATTAGGAGATTATAAAACATTGCTTGTACTTGGGCCCTACTAAAGTACGTTTTATCTAATTCAAATCCAGTACTGAATTTATTTATTTGAGCTGAATCCTTTCAAACTTCGTGTTCGACATACAGTCTTGATGGTCACTTTTCAACTTTTGAAAGTTACTAAAATTATTAATAAGCAAAGGTCAAAGGATTAAATCTGTAGGTTGAGAACCCAAACTAATGAATGAATTGTAAAAAGAATGATGAACAGAAATCTGTCCTTGTCATTTATTCATCCTGTCTTCTGCTGATGTGGACTCACTGAGGGGCAGCAGCTACTGCTGGTAGTGGGAGGAGGAGCTGCCGTCTCAGCCAGAAAGTCTGCCACAAATAAGACACAGAAAACAAAAAGACTTGTATATAGACATTGTATGTTATTGTTCATTGTACCTTTTTATAAATTTACAGTATTTATTCACACCTAATTTTTCCACTACCTGTATGTACATATTAGTTCAATGTATGTTCCTTCTATCTTTGTTCAGCTTTGTTGTTCTTGTTTATAGCTGTATGTCTAATTCGATATTCTTGTAAATATTTCTGTGTTTAAGTACACTGAGAGCAAACCCACAGTCAAATTCCATGTATGTGTACACATACTTGGTCAATAAAGTTAATTCTGATTCTATACATACCAGTTGTGAATGGGAAACTGCAGGCAACAGCTGAAAATGCTGCTTTTCTTCAAGTTCATGCACGTTTAACGGGTGGTTTTCTTCTGCTCTGACGATTATAGTTGATGTTAACTCGAGTAACACGTTTCACTTCATCTGAGTTCATCCTCTGCTCTGCAGCCACCATAAATTTGATTAGATTCAAGAGAGCACTTAGACAACAAAATGCAGTTTAGCATCTAACCAGCAGTGCAAAGAGCAGTCAGGTGCAGAGTAATGTACATATGTGTGGTAATAAAGGGGGCAGATATGAATATGCTAAGATATATATAGTATTGGTGGTAAGAACATGTGCATCATTTACAGCATGCAAAATATATATTGCAAGTACAAGTAATGGCAATAGTAAGAGCTTACATACAGAATAAACAGCTGGAGGTATGAATACGGTGTACATACATATTCTGCATACATAATATAGACAGTAGAAAAAATGAAAATACTATAGGTCCAATATATACAGTATGGAAAGTATTTCCAAACCAATGAAAATGTTTCTCATTTGCTCGCAGACATGTTGTGAATGTGACACTTGATTGGTCAGTGAAGAGCAAGTGTTGAGAGGATCTATTCTGGGGCTGGCATGGGGGCGCATACTTTCTGCAATCAAAGCTGAGTCGTGGCACAAGGAGTGAAAAGGGGTCACCTTGAGACTGAATTCGCGCAAACATGCAGCCATGTATACAGTGGTCATACTTAATCTGGAATGTGTTTTTTTTCTACAGATATTAGGATTTATACTGTTGAGATTAAGTGTTAACATCTCAGTATTGGTAATAATGAGGCGCACTGCTAGAATTTTTGTGTTTCAGACACAGATGAATAAAATGGAACTTTCATTTTATGTTTCTGCTCTCACGTCATGTGAAATCACTGAAATAGCTTCCACTCTTGGGTGACAGATGGAGATGTATATAGTGCCTAAACATAGTAAGATATGCAGGTCTAAGCTATAGATAGTCACAGCCTCTGCAATGCAGAGCAGCCAGTGAGCAACTTTTTCCAACAGCCTCAGATGTCACTGAGAACACAGACCCGTTGACAAATGTCGATAAGCACTATGTTGTACATCGCTATTTATTAAAGCCTCTATGTGTAGAATTTTCCACATTATTCCGATGTACTGAAGTTTTGTTGTGTAGAAAAGTTAGACAATCATGGAGGAAACTGGTGCAGTCTATGTGATGGTTTGTTAGTGTCCTGGCCTGCATTGTTGTCCGTCACAGTGTCTTTCTGATACTACCTCCAGGGAGCGCCAAAGTCAGACATTTTCAGATTCTTCATTAATCACCTTTTTGCCAAGAATTAAATGAAAGGATTGAAAAAAATAATGTCATTAAAAAGGTGTGCAGTTAACATTTTCAAATATATTTTCAATCAGTCCAATACAGATAATCACGTTGTGTTTTTGGCAGTTCCGATATCTCACATTACAGAATGATGTGGAAAAGTTTAGGACTGTCTGTCTTGATTTGGAATGTGACTTGGTGTTTATGGAGTATTCATAACAATTACTTATAATTACTTATCTTTCAGGTATTATAATGCATAATTTTTTAGAAGCTTGTTTTGACGTAAAAGTACATTATTTCCTTTTGAAATGTAGCAGACTAGAAGAACTGAGTAGCATAAAATGGAAATACTCAAGCACACTAATTATACCTTATAATTATACTTACAGAGTTCCCAGCCAAGACATGAGAGTTACTTGGGAGTTTGTCCCACCTGAAGTTATTTACTTTGTCTTTGCAGCAGCCTTCATTCTGGAGGGAAAGGCCCCAGCCGAGTCCAGCAAGGGGGATGGAGGTGGCGGGAATTCTGGTTCCCTCAGCCCTGGCCCTGCTGCTCTGCTATTGACCCAGGCAGAGATCCCCGGGCCCTGGCAAAGCGAGAGCCTGCTGGCAGAGTCCTGGTCCACGATGGGCGACGTGGACCCTGAGGACACTAAGAGCCTGGACAGCAATGACGGGGCGGTTCTGGCCGGAGAGGAGAACCATTCCTCCAACTCTGACATGGTCCACCTGGAGCGAGAGGAGGCTGAGATGCTTGAGGAGGCAGAGAAGGAGGCCGCAGAGGAGGAGAGGGTGAGGAGAACAGAGGAAGAGGAGGAAGAAGATGAGGAGCTGCAGACGAGTGTGTTGAGTGTTTTAGGCGGTGAGAGGGAGCTGGTTGAGCTCAGGGAGGAGGAGGAGCAGGACCTCCAAGCCCCAGAAACTGAGGGGCTCCTGGTGTCATCAGAGGAGCCTCACATGGAGAGGGAGCCTGCAGAGTTCAGGCAGGTGGTTCCCCCGATGGCCCTGCCTCCTCTGCCTATCGTCAGGTTCGATCCCCCCTCCACAACATCCACCCCGGTCCCTTCAACCACAGCCTCTGAAGCTGAGGAGCTTTATTCTTCTCAGGGTCTCCACCCTCCATCTATCCTTGCACCAATAGCAGCAGAGCCGCAGACAGAAAGTCTCGAGCAACTAAAATTCTCACAGATTCCCCTCTCAGATGTGGAGGAACATTCAATTGAAGCCTCTCAAGCAGCACCAGAAAAGCTGGAGCCCACTGCTTTACCAAAGACTACCAAACCTCTGAGCTCCACTGAGCTGATATGTGGAGGTGCTGCTTTAGTAGCCATTGTTGGAGTAGTGGCATATGGTGCTGTGGCCTACTGCAGAAAGTAGAAAACCACTCACTTAAAACCAATCACCCTTTCAACACAGGGCTTTTGTTTAAAAATCTATTCCAACTGAAATATTCCACTTCACTCTCTGAATTCAGGATCTTACTCTCTTTGACACTCTTTGTATTGTAGTTATTAATTGACACATCAATTAGATTTTTCTGTTTCGTTTTGTCCTACCTCAGCTCACAGCAGAGCTCATGGCCTTTGTTTTTCTGGATACAATAGATCTCAGAGGAAACTTAGCAAAATGTAAACCTGAGAATGTAAAATCATGTCATTTTAAAGAATCCTGAAACTTGAAATGTTTGTTTGAAATTTCTTTGTGTGATTGTGTCTCTTATTGCTTCACTAGAAAACAACATGAAGGACTAAAATAGATACTAGTTCCTCTTCTCTACTCTCAACCTTTCATTGGTAATCCAAATGCTGGCAGATTTGGATAGGAATGTATTTTGTCTCACCTGTGCTAAGCACGCCATGTAACTGCATGTATCTGTGCTGCTTATAAGAAATTAACAGCAGGAGAGGATGGTTGGGCTGAAAAGCACCTTTCTGGCCTTTAAACCTGCAATATCATCAGCTTTTAAGTTGATCTGGAGAACATGTAAGCAAACAGCTACCTATTTTCACATCCACCAGATACAAAGCAACATTAGCATTAATTCTGAGTCGTGTTGCTGGACACCTGATGAATGTCATTTCAATAGTACTACTTTTTCTCTAAAAACTGCTGTCTGCTGTGTCCGAAAACAACACTATGAAAGTAGTGGGCTGGAGAACCAAAACAATGAATTAAGGCTCAAATCTGCTAGAGCTAAGGGAAACCTCATATTAAGGTGATACATCTTAGTATGGCCATCTCTATGAGCAACTTCTTTAAAATACAAATGTTAATATAAAAATATTGATTATTTAAAGTAACCCAGTCTCGTCATACCCTTTGTCAAAGGTTGCATGTATCCTTGAGTTGCAAGCAATTTAACCAAAGATTGAAGCTCTTTTTTTAGATTGCTTCATTTTAAACAAGTTTTAGAGGTCAGCAGTGAGATAAATAATCCAGTATTTCACAATTAGAAAAGATTAAAGAATACTTCAGCAAAAATATGTGTTTTTTCTCGATCCTTGTCATCCTTGTCACCCTGCAGCAGGATCATATTTTATTGTCTCAGTGGTACCTGAAACAACACGCCAACATCAATGTAGCCCCTGGTTTGCTAGATAACAAAATACATGTCCTGCCATGTGTCTGAGCAGGACAATAAACCCCTTCAAGCTCCAACAGTATGAGCCCTGACCTTTGACCTCCCTGTGTCAGGAGAGCAAGAGAGAGCAAACACATAGTAAACTGGAAAGAGAAATTATTAAACTCAAATGCAGCAAAGCAGATTATTTCCTTAGTCAACTAAATGTAAGTTGTGCTTTTCTACTTTCCATTGAGTTGTACATTAAATATACAAGGAGCTACTATCCTACTTTTTTGTTTTTGTAAATGAAAGTGATTATTGTAGCCTAAGTAACATCATTAACTTCCCATGTGGACATCATGTTATGCAACAGCTGTAAAACAGGCAAATAAAAGTGAGCAGATGTATCTTGATCTCCCAGTAAAAATGTGCAGCTGGAAGTGACACAGGAAGGTTCGAACAGAAAACATTAGTATAAGAGTAATGTAAAGCACTCATGTAATAAATATGGTGTTTGTGTAGGCCTGCATAGAGTTCACACATTTGGAACATAACATAGAGACAACAGAATTCAATTTTAAAAGGGCCTTGAGCATCTTATAATCGAATCAAATAATACTGTAACTATATTTATATTGTTAGAGTGCAGTGTGAAATTATTATTGAAGTAAACTAATCTACATCATTGACGTTACCACATTTTGGCTAGTATTTGGCTTTATTATTTTAGTGTCAGAGACTCATCGTAGATTGAGAGGATACAGAAAATGAGGATTGATGGTACAGATCTGACAGTGGAATCCATTGTTCCACATGTTTGGTTTACTGCTCCGTCCTGCCGTCTGCTGGTCAGTCAGCAACATTTCAGTCTTTAGCAAAAGCAACAAAACCAATGTCAACCTTAAGACAACAGCACCAGGAAATTAATTTGAACTTACACTTAATTAACCTCTATTCAGCCAAATCATATTCTTTAAAACATAAATTAAGTGTCTACTCATTTATAAAGAAAAGGCACCTGCTGAATTACCAAGGTAGACCAAATCTATTTTAAAAGGTTATGTATGCAACTTGGTTTTCACTACAAAAGAATAAAAGAGGGTCCTTCATTGGGATTAGAAATCCTGAATAAAAAATTTAAATAAATATATCTAAGAATTAAACAATGTATGTAAAACATGGCAAAAACAAAGTGAAGCAGTCTGAACGTATTACAGTTTTTCTCAGTTGCTTCGGTACATTTCTCAAACCATCCTTAACATTTGCAAAACAGTAAGTGCATTTCTCGAAACAGGTAGTACAAACAGCACAACACAGTGGTTTACCTGCAAAAGCCCATAATTTAAGCTCAAAATCCTTAGTCTATCTCTCAAAAGCAAATCTTTATGTCATGGAACTTGTCAGTGCCATCAGAAGGACAAGTCCTTGTGTCTTGTTTATGAACAAGCAAGTCAAAATGTTTAGCCATCTTGTCAATATAACAGTGTACTGTATTTTCTCATGTACACTTTGGCTAAGATTTTGATGACAATGATTGAAAATGCATAAGGCTGCACTTTTTTTGTATGGCATATATCACTTTCACCAGTACAAAGTTATACATTGCTGGAGAGAGGACAGGAATCACAGCCATGCTTTTACTGTTCGCACTGTAATTTGTTGACAAAGCATGTCATTGTAATACAGAAAAGAAAGAGACAGGACTGTTGCATGGGATAAAGTACACCCCTTTGGCTGACGTTCCGGTCTGTTGTATCACAGATTCTCTTCCACATCACAACAGATATCTTCATCAATTCAGGACACATTTACAAAAAAATTCAAATAGACATGTATGGAATGTCTATCTATATACATTCATATATATACATACGGAAGTCCTAATCAAATATTTTACTCCGTTTTCCTGTGATAATGGGATCATTTTCTTGTGATTTCGAGATAACCATAATGGTAATTATAGTGTGGTTTGTAATATTATTGGTTAGCTCACTTGGTAGAGCACAGGGCATATAGTCTTAAGATTGTGTGTTCAATCCGCACTGAAGACTCAATTTTTCTTTTTAATATTTTTTATAATCCTCTTCAACAAAGTTCTTATGAAAAGACTGTTCCACATGCTCACATTACTGTAAAGCACGTGCGTTCTTGGTCCACATCCATCAACCCATGGACTTTTCATTTCCCCATCATTCCCAGGCAGAGGAAATTCCTTCTCATTCAGAGGAATCCATGTAACACCACACATTTCCTGACGGCTTTCGGAACCTTTGAAATAGCCGTCGGGAAATGTGTGATTGGATTCCCCTCAATCTCTTCAGAACAATTTTGCTGAAGAGGATAATACACACAAAAGAAGAAAAAGAAGAACAAGAACAGGAATCAAACTAATCAAACTTTGCCCTGTGCTCTACCAACTGAGCTTACAAGTGACACTGGTAATTGCTTTGAAATTATCCTAAAGAAACGCACCTACCAGCCCCTGTATTCAGCTATGGTTTGTTATCTCGTTATCCTGTTCTCAGGGGAAAAGGATATACGTTATATATATATATATATATATATATTACTGCTCACTGTTTACTGGTACTTATGGTATTGTGGGTGAATGGTTTGAGTGTTGCTATTGTGATGTTGTTGTTGTCCATTCTTACTTTGTTTATGGTCCATAAGAAACAACATTTCGTTTGGCTATATCCTTGTATGCAAACAATATGAATAAAGTATTTTAACTTTGATTTTTGATAATGTGTTCAACCATTTTGCATGTAGTGACTAATGAAATGAACTTATGCCTAGATGTTTTGGGGGGTAAGATTATTCAACAGAAACTGGTATAATTAATTGTGATCAGCATGACATAAGCAATTGATAATGTAGGAAACAGCAGACAATTGTACATAATCATTTGCATCAGTGTGTCAAGTAATTTGCATTTTGTTCAAAACAATGATAAAGCGCATTTATGATGTCCACAAGTGATGAGATGAGATGTGTGGAGGTTGAAAAATTAGTTTTGAAGATTTCAATTCTGACCTGAGAAATGCACCAAAGCGACTGAGAAAAACTGTAAGCGTATAACTTTATTTCTGATGCTCCCAGGACACAAACATGATCTCATAGATAAAGATTATAACTCTGCGGTCACACCAGTATTCAGCGTGATAGACTAATTGGGTTTGACACTTCTTGATTTTCATCGAGTGCCAGTAAATAAAGAAGAACAATGGAGTGAACTGTCCTGCGGTCAGCCTCCCACTCGCACATTGGTGCATACACACAGCTATTGAATTGAGAAGGGGAAGGAAAGTGCTTCTTTGTTTGGAAAGATAAAGCTGCAGTATGTCTGCTCTGCCAGAAAATATACTGTACCACCTTCATAGATAAATATGAATCTCTTTACCTCCCTAACTCCCGTCCCACTAAACACACACACACACACACACACACACATACACACACACCAAACCACACAATAAACCTGTATTTACTGCCACCCTCAACATTACAATATACAGATAATAGCAATAAATGTATTATACTGAGGTGAATGGTACAAGAAGGTTGGCTACATACTGTCAGATAGATAGATAGATAGATAGATAGACAGACAGATAGAGAGATAGATGCCATGCATGCTAACATGCATTCAAAGACAATGTTAACATGCTAATGTTTCTCAAATTTTTATTATTAGTCCAATTATTAGAGCCTGAGCAGCAACCACTGCAAGGTCCCTACTGAAATTCTTAGAATTCTTCTTCTTCCTCTAGTATATATATTTTTATGCTTCAATCGCATTTTTGGGGTGCCTTTGCATGTTGTTTGCAGCTTAAAGAAGGGGTGAGAATAGTTTGAACTCGAAAGCTAGTACGACAACCATGAATAAAACCACCCCACGTTACTTCCTTGTAAATGAGTGCAGAAAGTGATCTCTTTAGATCAAGTTGTGATAAAGTGCAATACTCAACCAGTGATTATACCATTTTTTAAGAACACAGCACACAAAACAGTTGAAAACAACTTTTTCAAGACCCCAAAAACCACCCTAATGGAGCCAACTCTACATCCCACACAGTGCCAACACCAGCGTACAGCTGTCAGGCCTCAGCTGCAGCCCGACAGGTTGTGGTCTTTAATTTATAGAGCTGATTTGACAGAAGTTTCACCCTCAATGGAAGAGGGAAAGACGGAGTGGGTGAAAGGACAAAGTTTGTGGTTCTTTGTTTTTATCAGTATGCCGCACAGGCAGGAAACACACATGCATATTTGCATGCTTGCACACACAGACACTCCTTCCCCCCCCTGCACACACACACACACACACACACATAGAGACATGTGCAATATGGTAATCTACTGTGACAAGGTGTTTTCCCCTACTGACAGGAAAACAATAAACTGTATAAACGAGTGAAAATCAAACTTCATCAAAAATCAAATCAAAAATTATACTGATCACGTCGAAATGGAGTCAGCTGAGTGCTCCTGTCATCTAACGATGTAACTTTTAGCCTTGCTATAATCTGTGCATCTCCTTCTCTTTGTTTCCATGATGTTTCCAGCTCAGCATTCAGGCCACACTTAACCAGGCTGAAAGGGGAACTTCAGGAGCAAGTCAGTTGATATTTAAAACTGCAAACCTCAGATAAATGAACTTCTCAAAAAACCTGTGTTTATTTGAACAGAGGGGTTGGCTTTGAGGGGGGAGGGGCAAACTGCAGGCTGAGTGTAACAGTGATCACAATATTATTAACCATTAACCTTTACAATCATACATTAATCTGAAACTGTGTCCATGGCACTCTGGTCAATTGAAAATTCTACTTTTTTAATCTAAGCTCCACAGTGAGCCCTTACACACCTGTGGAGGGAGTTTGTTTCAGTTACATGGGGATTTAATGACATTCTGTTATAAAATTAATTGAATAAAGGGATTAAATAATTTACAGTAGCAACAAATGTCTCTTTAATGATCACTGATTTAAAAAGTATTGTAAAGATTTAAAAAGCAAATAGAAGAGAAACAAAGTTCGTTGTTTTTTTAGATCTTGCTTTGTGAGGAATGCTTGCTTTTTACTTTAGCTTTTTGTTGAATATTTTACTATTATTTTGTGCAGTGTAATGATAGAATTGCAGAATAAAATTTACGTTACTAAATTTTCTGAGGAAAAAATGCAATTATAACCTCAAAATAGATATGTGTCTTAAAAAATATTAAATGATGAAAATGAAAAAAGCATTTTCTGAGATAATTTTGGCATTTAGCCTTTAGATTAAAGTGCAATATAAAGTAAACATTTATTTATTTTCATTATTGGTGAAAATTGATTAATGTCCTTTGATTTATTAAAACTAGTCTAGTGGTTATCCAGTGTTTGTGTTTCTTAAGGAAGAGCCCAACCACTTTTCATGCAATTATTCATTCTTTATTTGCCAGGAAACACAAGGACCACAGATAAACATTCCCAGCAATTCAAATTCAAATTCAAATTCAAATTAGCTTTATTGGCATGAATGTATAACAACAATATTGCCAAAGTATCATACAAACTACAATTCTTTAGGCTCAATTTACAGAAAAGCATATTACTGAACAGCAGTTATCAATGTGTATGTTACATATCTCGCCCAGTATGCAAATTCTCAGGTCAGGTTGAGAATTGGTGGTATTCCTGGGTCGTGTGTGCAATAAAAGAGTTTTTTGTTGTTCGTAGATTGTGATCCACTGTGATAGAGAGTGTGATGCTGAGATATCTGATCTGTGTTTCCAAAAAAGAAGAAGTGTTGGGCTGCAGTACATTGTGACGTTAACACATTTAAATTTACCAGCCTCTCTACCTATTCATGTGGTTGAACAGTGAACAGGTATTGGAGGTCTGCAACATATATATACCTGTCAGAAAACACCTGCAGTAGTGTAACAGTGTTCACCTATTAGGAAAGAAATGGCCTCAAGTGAAGGCAACACTCAGACATACAAGATGGTGAGTTGTAAATATGCTAAACTTTGATTATATTTTTCATTGCTATTATTTGGAGGGTCACATCTTATATATATTATATATTAGTCATATATAGTTTCATAGTGTCCTATTCTTATTTTTTATACTCATTATTATGAAAAAGGTGACATGTAAGATGCATTATATTATTTCCCTTGTGTCTATTTATTCTAGACCTCCTTGGACAGCGACATGAACCAACACTTCCAGGATGCAATTGATGTGATTAAACAGCATTCAAATAATTCATATTACGATTCAGGTACAGTAAAAATCTCTCAGAAACCTTCCATCATTTCCTGCAAAAATACAGGAGCATAAATATAAAACTTCTGCCATATTTATATCATATTTATAAATTTTTCAGTGCATTACATTTTAAAGAAAGCTATTTTGATTGATTACATCACTTGAATTTATTTGTATTTGAATGAAAACTGTTTTTTTTATTTTCTAGAGTATACATATTATGAGACTGTGGGTTCCCAGCAGCCATCACACACCGCACACCTGCAGTGTCAGATCTCCTGCCTCGTCACCCACCAGTCTGATGTACCAGCTCCAGCATATGACTGGACTGACATGACTGTAAGTAGTGCAAAACAAAAACAGCTGCATTTGTGTATCTGAAAAACAGGGGGGGAAATAAAGAAAATAGACGTTTTTTTTTTACTTTAAATGTTACTCTTTCAGCAGCAGACTTGGCCTCAGGTCATCCCTGATGTCTCCCTGGGTCAAAATGAATCGCCTCATTTCTACTCAATCTTACCACCACAGAGGAACAGCAAAGGTAAACAGGATAGGATTTTCAGTACTCTTTACATTAGAAATTTTTTATGACTTCTGGGATCTTTCAACACTAAAACCAATTCTATCTCCTCAGGTCGTAAGAAGCTCAGACTTTATGAATACCTCCATGAGGCTCTGAATGACCCCAACATGGGTGACTCAATCCAGTGGACAGACAGCGGCAACGGCACCTTCCACTTCATCTCCAAGAACAAAGAGAAGCTGGCTGAGTGCTGGGGCCAACGCAAGGGCAACCGTAAGACCATGACCTATCAGAAGATGGCAAGAGCTCTGAGAAACTACAGCCGCACCGGTGAGATCATCAAAGTACGCCGCAAACTTACTTACCAGTTCAACCCAGACATCCTGCACAGGCTCGGCTCTGCACAGGTGCCCATGCACCTGCCCTGCCACCCCGCACAAGAGGAGGTCCGCACCCAGCAGCCAAACCCAGGTGACCAGAGCTACTGCAGCTCTGCAGCGGCAGATTGGCACAGCTGGTACGGACACTTCCAGCTGCAGGAAGACTATGACCTGGCCTCAAGCTTCACTTCACACAGCATAACCAAACTCTGAGCTGGAGGACGGTTTGATTGCAAAAGAAGAAAATCTCTTAAACGTTTGAAAACTTTTTTCGAAGACTTAAATGTAAACTCTCTGACTACTCATTCAGTTCCAGCATGCTATCACATGTTATAGGACTATTAATGTCACAAACAGTAACACTATTCAATCAGAAGTGTTTGAATACTTTATATTTTAGAATTCTGTGATCTTTACAGGGGAGTATTATGGTAAATTTTAAACATTCAAAATATGAGTGAGAGAAAAAATTGTAAGTGAATCAAGAAATGTGCTCTTTTACAAAATCCCTACATTTAAATAACAACTGCCTGAATCAAATTCAAAATTTACAGTATTGACAAAGATTATTAGTTTAATTAGACATATATAGTAACAACATACTAATATATGTCTTGCAGCTAATGTCAGCACTTGTTTTAGAATATAGTGTAGACTTAACAGGCTGACATCTCCAGTCAGCACACCTGCACTTAATAAAGCACTAATTTAACTAGCCAGTTAAGTTAACAGGCACTTAAAAGGAGGTTTTCAGAGACTGGAGCCTTTTTCAGCCACTGAATGTTATTGTCATACGTCACAATTTGACTATTTTGGTTTGTGGATATATATAGTCAAATGTGTTTGAATACACATTTTATTTTTTATTTTTAGCTTTGTGTGTGTGTGTTTTGTGTAGTATCACTGTAAATTACTTGTTAATAATTTTAAGCTATAAAATATGAATGAAAAAATTCTCTAATTTGATCAAGGAAACTAGTTTTTTAGAAAATGCTAAAGATTTTAATAATAATGCCCTGGATAAGGTTTAATCACTTAGATGTTTTTAATTAAGAAAATACGGTTGTATTTGACATGCTGCACTTACTTTAAGATAAGATATTTAAGTATTTTGGCTTACACTATGAAATGGCACCCATCCAAACAAAAAAAAAGCCAGCAATCAGTTAAACAAATCCACTTTCTACTACAATTCTTGTACAGGTAGACCTAACTCTTTCTATATTTTATTATATTTACCCCCAAATATAGGATGTACAAACACATTTCACTTGCAATGTAGACACACTGTTTTGAATCAATGGTGAAAAATAATAAATATAGTAAAAAAGATTATATTTTACAATGATAATAATAATTTAATAATAAGTTGACTCATGTTGTTACAACAAGCAACCAGTAATAAGCATTATGTGTAATGAAATGTAAATCTTTATGATTTTCTTGATAAAAGTATTAAAGAAAAATGACTGGTGATATTTCTTATATTTATTGTGTATAAATAAATGTTGGTTAATAATATCAGTATTCATTTAATTCAACTTTTACATATATTTTCAAAATTTGTTGTAATCTTTTAAACACAACCAATAAATCAATCTGTGTACTCTCACTTGTGCTTGGTTTTACTGACTTGATTACAACAAACTGCAGCCACATTCTCGTCCTTTGTGCAAAAAATAAACACTAGCATCGTGCAAAAATATAAAACACTGTGTTGAAAGATTTGGCACTGTCTCCATTGAAGTGAAATATTACAACAAGCACACTACAAAATCTGAAATTAAGACACATCCTGTGAGGAAAAATATGGCAGCAAGTGTGTTTTTCCTGAAAAGAGAGTATTTTGTAGACGCTGCCTCCAGGGCAGGCCTTATCTGCTTCAGCGGGGAGGATGTGGTCAGTGCTGGGAGGCTTTGTTGATGGGTTGACTGGTGGTGGTGTTTGGGCTTTGTGGGATGGTGGTCATTGTTCCTGTAAGCTTGGGGTAGAAAACGTTATGCAGAAAGCCCACTGCTGTGGGGGTATAATAAGCGTCTGGGTACTTGAGCGTCTCAAAGTCAGTTTTGTGGAATTCTCCCAAACTACAAGGACTGGACTGCATAAGAATCAATCTCATCAGCGATGGTAAAGATCAGACTAATTGCAGGGATGACCTAGGAATTTCCCAAAACAATAACTTCAAGGCAAAAATTTAAAATTATGCAGTGTACAGGGCTGATTTTGTATTATTTATTCTCACCAGAATTCTTTCCAGGAGACTCAGTCTGATTTAGAGGTGATCTTAGAGTTCCTAGAGGAGTACTACAAACAAAACACTGGTGAAAATGGTAAGAAATTAAATTTTGGCACTAAAAGACTCATTTTATTGTAGTCTTTGAGCTACTTTTTGGTTTTTACAGTGGAGAAGATGTATTGGACTGAAAGTGAATCATGTGAGCAGCGCTGGACGTGTTACGAGCCATCTGTAAGCATTAAAATGTTTGTTTTAGAGCTTTTTCACATAGAAGACACTTTTAAAACACATCTAGTAAAATGTGCACATATAACCTAGAGTTTAAAGCTGTTCAGTTTTCTACACATTGTTGATATTTTTCCATTCTCTCCATCATATCCATCATAAAAAAACCCATCAAACCTGCACTTCAGCCTTTGCTGGCACATGATGCCCCACCAGCTCTCAGCCAACACACAACAGCAACATTGTCTGAGCGTGGGTCACTGCCAAACTTTGTATCAGCAAGACAACCCACCAAACACACGGCGACAGCAGCGGGGAGTGGTGAGTTCTCCTTTTTTTGGTCACTAGATACTGTTATTGCCCCGGTTGCTTGTAGCCTGAGGGAAACAATACCAAGAGAGCAAATAAGAGACCTTCCCTTTACTGTAAAAAACAATAGGGCAGTGCATGGCTTAGCTTGAGAGCTGTTTTTACATATCTATCAGATAACCGCAGCTTTACCCTCTCCACTAAATGTCATCCCATTAGTGAAGAGATTTTCTGGGAATCTTTGTATTTAAGGAAATGATTAACTGTTATTAGCATTAACAGTTTTACTGTGGCCCAGCAGCCGTTTCCCTAAATCCTCTTTAAGTCCCTTTAAAGTCTTCATTGTGCCTCTGACTGTTTGCTCAATGGTTACAGGTAGAAAGGTGCGACTCTTTCACTTTCTGTTTGAAATGTTGGAGGATCCAAACATGGCCCACTGTGTGTCCTGGGTGCCAGCAGCCACAGGTGTTTTCCGCTTTTCCTCCACAAATAAGGACCAGGTGGCAGCCCTCTGGGGGCAGAGGAAAGGCAACAAGAGGCCCATGACTTACCAGAAGATGTCCCGCGCAATCAGGAACTACGCCCGGTCCGGAGAGATCTTCAAGGTGAAGAAGAAGCTCACCTACCAGTTCAGCCGAGACACCCTGATGTTACTGCAGAAGTGTCATCGAGGAGATTTGTAATCTAAAGCAGGTTTTGATCTCGCATAAAACTCTTTTAAATCTATGTTTAGGTCATGTACATGCGTTGAGTTTGTGGTGTAAATAATAAAAAAGAAAAATCATCCTTTTATAGTTTTTTTTTATTTTATTATATTGCACAGTTCATTTATTGCACCAGATGAAGCTAAAAGTTAATTTCCTTCTAAACTACAGATCAATCTTTAGTGAATTAAAACATTAAACTTTGAAAACATGATAAAACATCAATATTAAAATTAGAGGGAAAAAAGACAATATGTGTTCCAAACTAGGAAGTACACAATCAGCAATCTAATCATCATTAAAAATCACAGTAATTTTCTAACCAAACACATTTTATTATTGCTGGTGGACATAACCAGTGTATCTTATCTCAGTGACTTCAGATGTGTCCTTCAGTCATATTAGAATGGGTAAATTTAGTGTGTGCTCTTTGTGTTTATGGTTATAAAAAATCAATGAATCTGTTATTTTGTCACCTGTGACATCACCAGATATCAAGATTTTAGCTTTTTGTTTACATTATTTGTAACATTTAACCTCTAGTCCCTTACAAAAACTTTAATCAAGTTAAAATCTGATGATTTATAGGAGCAGCTATGAAGTCTGAGTATTTGGACAGGGAAAAATGTAGTTTTATTTACTTATTTTTTGCAATATAGAAGTGATACACTGACTAAAGACTAAAAGAGTTAACTTTCGTTTATACAGTGTGATTACTGTAGGAATCAGGTGTGTTTTCTTATAATAATTTCCTAACACTTCCTTTAAAGTTTCCCGGAAGGAACCATGTAGGTACTTATTGGTGATAAACTAAAGAAATAGTTTTGAGAATTGTTTTAGTTGGTTCAGTTAGTTGTCTTGAGTTTATCCTTGATTTCCAAAGGAATCTCCTCGGGAAGAATCAATTTAAACCCAAGCAAATATATATTCATTCACCATGTTTCCATCAAAAACATTTTCTCTTTCTCTTAAAATGTAGGTCAATTTTTCCATTGAGTAGACTTACCCTGAAAATTAACTGCAAGAATACAATATTTCTCCTGAGAGGAAAGAATCATGTAACAGCCTAAAGTTTCTCTTGACCTGTTGATAGGTCCGTGTGTGCATGTGTTTTCTTTTATGTGTTTGATGGCTGTTGGGAACCAGAGGGTGTCAGTGTAGTCCATCTCGAGGCCTCCAGCTGCTTCTTTTTCCTTTCCTGTGTGGTGTGACTTCATGGCTAAATTGCTTCAGTGATGTGAACTCTCGGCCGTCCCGGGCAATGCCAAATGGTTTTCTGTGCTCTTTGTAGCAGACCCACATGATACTTCCCTAAGCCTAGTATTTACTGCTGGAGCCCACTCCAGGTTATAAATGGGCTAACTGAGCTATGAGTGTCTGTTACCAAGAAAGGCCACATACTTTGAGAACTGAATTACCAAAACAGTCATTTAAGGAAAGAGTATGTTCTTATCAAAAAGCTTCCACCTTTCACGATATGTGTTGACTTACAGTATAGGTTCTTTTGCAGCAACAATGACTCATTTTGAGGATCTTACCGTATGCTATGATTGTCCAACCAATGATGGTACATGTCTGGCGATATACTGTAAATTGCATTCCTGTGCACAGACAGTATCCAAGGCCTAAAAATAGAGCTGTGCCTTGTCTTGACTGTCCTGTTGGGTTGTCTGAGGATTTAATTGTGCATGTTTTAAGTGCACTTCTATGTTGAGACCATTGACATACTCAAGTGGTTATGATATTGACAGAGTCTCTACAGGAGTTTGGTACTGTAAACTTGAAGAAGCTTCAGTGTTTGTTGGTTAAAAAAGAGGCAGACTTGTTTTTGCTTGTAAATCCGGCATCTTTAAGCCTGGTTGTTAAATCTTTGAGACCACAACTGATTTAGCTTTTGTATTTTACATGTATTTGTATTTGAAAAAGATGAAAGCAGCTATATCAATGACATAATTCACAATGAAACCTTTTCATGTCAGATACACATGTCAAATGTCAAGGTTTATGACAGCTTTCTAAGTATAGGCCATATTACCACCGCCCAGGCATCTCGCCAGTATTTATTTGCCAGGTCGAAAAGCCAGCTGTTCTTGGACAGCATTCCCCCTGGATTAAACTGATATCTGGCATCTGGCATCAAGTCGCTTCATGTCATCCCAAACTTTTCTTTTATAATATCCACAGATGCTCTGAATATGTTGTATATCATCTGGGATTACATCAGCCTCAAACCTGTGGCAATGATGACACCTTTCCCTTTTATATCCCACCCCCTGATTTCCCAGTCTCCTCCTTCTTCACCTACTTCTATAGAGCATAATGGATACTCACCTCTGATGCCCTCTTCCTAATACTGAGGTGGCAAGTGATACCATTGCCATGTCAATATAGTAAATATTAAGCTACAGCCAGCAGCCAGTTAGCTTAGCATTAAGAGTAGAAACAGGTGGAAACAGCCAGCTTAGTCCAAGGTTTAAAAAACCCCCAGTTAGCTCACTAATAAAAATCTTATATTTAGTTTCATTCATACAAAACAGAAGTGTAAAAATGTTGCCATTGCTCTTGGCCAAGAAATAGACATAGACAGGTATAAAAGTGGTATGAGTCTTTGAAGTGAAGTCTTTGAACTCTGAAGAGAGCAAAGTGTATTTCCCAAAATGTCAAACTATTCCATTGAGTCAAACAGGCCACTTAATAATTTCACAAGAACACCCACAGCCAATGTTGACATTTTGTGGAATTTGTGCAAAATCTGGGCTCTGTAGAACTAAGATGAAGTATACCTCCAACTACAAAACCAAATCCTGAAAGCCAATACAAAGTAACGCAAATAATTTCTTAAATAAAAAATGAAAAGGGAGCTAAAGTCTAGTAAATAAAACAATGCCAACAATGACAGTATGAAAATGTCAACAAACCTCACATTTACTCGCTGTCACTTCTCATCTAAAAACCAGCGGGTGGTGGACAGTGATGCAACAGTACGTGTAGACAGGGCTGTATTGTTCACTACAGAGAGGAGGAGCATGCCACTTCTCTATATAAGGCCTGAAAGCCTGTCCCTCCTGGATCTGTCACTGGTCCTCCTCTCCTCCCCCACTGAGATTTCCAAATCGTATCCCTGTGCCATCCTCATCTCCCATCTCTCTGGTCCAAGGGGTCCCAGAGGTTTTTGTTCTTCTACTGTTTTATCATCATCGCACTCCCTCCCGGGCTACCACGCCTTACCTGGCCTCCTGTAGAGTCACATTACTCTGAAGGCACCTACCTACCTGCACCTTTTGACTCCTTGACGATTTTTTTCTTGGGACACGGCTCAAGATGCCAGAGCCCACAAAGAAAGGTAGGAGTGTTGATAGTGAGGATGGGATTAGCTTGTTGCTTCTAGTTGTAACATCAAAGCACGTAACAGCCACACAGAAGATCCAAAATGAGCCTGCTGCACTGCATGTTTTAATTAATTTGAGAGCAAAAATGCTTAACTTTTTAAGTACTTTTATGTTGTTTATGCGATTGGCTTGTTTAACTGTAATGTATTTAGAGCAATTCTGTTTTTATTCTATCTTTGCCTGTTAACTGTCTTTGTTTGAGGGGAGAAGAGTCAGTCGATTTTTGATGCAGTGAGCTCCATCCCTTTACTTTACTCGTCTGCCAGCTTGTTCATAGGAATCCTCAAAGTGACTTTGACAGTTGTATTGTATTACTGTTGCATGCGTGTTTCTACCGTCCTGGGGGGCAAGAGAAGATTTGAGGTTTATGAACAGATACCGTTGTTGGCGGGGGGTTGTCACACTGGATTGTTGTGTGAGATCCAGCTGGAGAAAGACACGATGATGAAGCGCAGTGGAGGAATGTTGACAAGTGCCGACACAAGCAAAGACCTGTCAAGGATGTTGCAATTCGGATGAACTGAGCGAATGCTGGGCTGTCTGAGGATAAATATTAACCTGATTGTGTTTGTCTTCCTGATGATTGATTTGAGCCGAGCAGGAATGTACCCCTCAGACCTGCCCCCTGCCCATAATTAAACCCCATATTCAACCACACACACAGCATTTTAACCCATCCCCTCTGCCGCCCTTACGTTGGATCTCTCCTCCACACCATAACATCACTCATCTGTACCATCATATCCATCAACATTCCTTTTTAATCCGCTCCTGTCTGTCATTAAGATATGGTATTACTCCCACCCTTCCCATTAGCTCAGCTCTTTGGGGTCCTGCCGGCGACCCAGACATGCCCATGTAGAGGAAATGGAACATTTTGTTTGGATCTTGGAAGCCTTCCTGATGAGAGTCGATACAAGTTTTTTAATAAACTCATCATCTTCTAGGGGATTATAGATTTGTCTGTAGCTGTTCCTGACACACCAGGCGTGATTTTCATATAGAATTTAACACAATTATCTTTCCACAAGACAGCTATATGTCGTCTGTCTTTCCTGGAAGAGGGATTCCTCCTCTGTAGCTCTTACTGAGGTCTTCCTTTGTTGATCCCTGCATTAAAGAGTTTTTCCTTATCCGTCTAAGGATAGAGGGTGCTGTACATTTCAACATTTGGTTCATGGACGCTTTTTTACTGGTATTGACACATTTGGGAAAATTAACCTTGACAACCAGCTGCAAGCTCCAGAATCTCATTTCTCACATCCAAATTTTATCCCAAACTCTTGTTGCGTCATTCGTGGTCAAGAACGAGTAGGGGTTCACAACAGCCAGAGGAAACCTAGGTCCCCAAATGATGTGAAGCTCAGCTTGGGCTTTATCGTTATTGATCTTTGTACTGTTGATTGTGTACAGCTCAGTGTTCATCCATTGTGATAAACATTGATGATCCCCTCACAGACAAAGCTGTGTGGAAATAGAGGCAGCAGATTCCAGTCTGCTACAAACACTTCCCATAAATAGCTGCACATCCCAGAGCAGCAGATAAATAAGGGAAGAAAAGTATTGTTCTTTAAATTAGTCTGAACAGCTGAAGAGGAGGAGGCCAGCATGGTTGTTTAAGACAACCCACTCTCAAGCCTTTAAAAAGTCACACCAGAG